CATTTTATTCAGATGTCCCAATACTAAATTAAAAAAAGAAAAAAAGCTGCTAACATGAAACGAACTTTATCTCAGAGTCCAAATTAGGAGTTTTACATATAGTGGTTTTCCAAACTGTTCAACTTATTTTATTATAGTGTTACCTAGCATAGTGAGCGATACATTATATGTAGCCTGTCGTAGACGCATATGTATGTTTTATACTTTGTGATATCGAGTCAGATTTATATTGTATGATTAAATATCTTATCATTATTTTGTTATCTAGTATAAACAATGACAGATTCTATATATATGTACATAGAGCTCTGGAAGACACATTAAATATGAATAGACTGAAATCAAATTTTTTCAATAAAATTAATGAAAGTTTGTTTGGCCAAATGCCAGTTGTGTGAATGGAAAGTGACAATTAACTAGTACATTTTCCTGAAATCCAAACTCAAGTCAAATATAATGTAAACAAGAGTGGCTAGGTGTTCCAAGAGAAAGTAAATATTCCACATTTATTCCGTGAACTATTATGTAATCCAATCACCTCATTTATAGAAAATATAAGTCTGTTGTTTAAAAGTTAATAATAGCACTGGCATGGCAATGTGCAGGGAGATTATAATTTGTCTTTATTCTTGTAGAATATTCATCATATCAAAGTAAATTTCAAACACACTTCGTAAATGTTCATGAGATTTATGTCAAAAGTCATGAATGAATTTTAATACAGTGAGCAGTTTTCATGAAAAAGACATAATTTGATCTTACCTTTTTATGAAGTATGAGTGATACAAATAAAAATCAAATTCTCTGCTAATGTTCAACTTTTAGACCACTTACATCAACTTTTAATGAAACCCACCAAAAAGTCTCAAAGATGAAATATGTGAAGAGACACAATCTCTTAATAATGCTTTCATTTTATGTACTTCCTGCAAAGAATGCATAACTGTTGACAACCAGTCCAAAAATAAAAGCATTTGCATATCCCTACATTTTTCTTATTTGTTACACAACTCACCTGATCATGTAAGGTTACATAATCCCCTATAAAACAACTGACTGAGTCATTTGAAAGCAACCATCAGCACAACACTGTCCACTTCAATGTTTCACATCTATGGAATCAAAGGGGCCACACACTGAAGCCTGCTATGTTAGACACAAATTAAGGCCGCACCATAGCTCAAGCGGTTACTCACTGGCTTGCCACCATGGCGGCCCAGGTTTGATCCCGGGTCTGGTCAAGTGGAATCTGTGGTGGACAAAGTGGCGCTGGGGTGGGTTTTCTCAGAGTTCTTCAGTTTCCTCTGCCAATCTTCATTCCACCAAATTCTTAAACATCATAATCACCTGGGGCAGGCTACAATAGGCCAATCAGCAGCCTCCATGCCAAGTGGACCCAGTTGGACTCCAACCCCCCCCCCCAACTAAGCGAATTAAAAAAAAAAAAGGAGACAAATTGAAGGTAGAGTTGTCATTGTTCTTTAAGTACTTGAGGTTGAGGTGGTAATCCCTCAAAGTGTGATTAGTAGTTTGGTCAACTTCATGTTCCAGCCCCTTACCCTTAGGGAAAGAACCCCTAGTATGAATTAAACAGGAGGACAGATGGTACCCAGAATTCAGTTCCTGCTCCTGCCCATTACTAATCACTGTACTCACTGAACTATCCTGATTCTCTTCAGTTGGAAATAATTTGATTTTAGCAAAACTGTAATAACAAATAAGAATATTACAAACTGCTCACTGTAAAAGGGTGAACTGCAATGAATACTGATCCAACATGTTTTGACACAGGTCACAGTCCCTGCAGGAGAGAGAGTCCTCTAAACAGTGCCATGTGGCCGATAGTCCTTTCACGTGAACAAGACATAATTTGGTTCAATTCCATATGTGGCACACACAGAATAAATGTGCATACATAAACACACATTTCAAGTGAGTCCACCACAAGTTCAGATGAAAGTACACACCATAAATTGTAAAGTGGAAGTCCACCAACAAGCCAATATCACCAGGAATAATAAAATTAAGTTCTGAGGTAGCTCACCTCTTAGCTATTTCACATACTGACACAAGCAGCCAGAAATTTTGCTGTGTTCCAGACATAATTACCATATTTACGCATGTATAGGCCGCACATTTTTTGCCAAAAATTCAAAAGGAAAACTGGGGTGCGGCTTATATTCGAAATATTCGAAGTCACACTTCATTTAAAAAAAAATATATTCATAATTAGTAATACAGAGTGTTCAAAGATCGAGGAAACCGGGGCAGCAGCGTAGAGCGGATGGAACGTTTCTCCGCGACTACTGTGCCCCTCCCCGCTAGCGAGAGTGCAGTCGTGTCGCTGATACCCTTACATCAGTTTCTGTACATGCACACATTTATAAGAATACTGTAAAAAGATAACACAAACTTAACGTGTTTTATAACAGGTGCTGAAAGTGACCCCCTTCTGCTTGCAAACATGATTCGCATCACATGAATAAATTATGCGACACTTTCTGAAGTTGGTCCACGGTAATTGAACCATATTACTGTTCATCACTTGACTCATTACTGTCGATGTCGCTCTCGCTCGAAGTTTCGCTGTCAGGTGATGTCAGCCATACAGCGTCATCTTCAGTCCCGTCCATTGCGTTGGAAATGGATGTGACTTTAAAACTTTTGGAAACCATTTCTTCTGGTATGGTGTTCCATGCAGCCACAATCCACTCACACATTTGACTTAATGAAGGTTTCTTCAATCGTCCAGTCGGCGTCATCTCCGTGGAACCGCATCTCCAGTCCCGGTAAAAGCGCCGCAAATGAGACTTGAAAGGACGGTTTATTGACACGTCAAGTGGTTGTAACATGCCAGTCATCCCCCCTGGTATCACAACCATATCACTTTTCTCCTGCCTCATCTTCACTTTCACATTTTCAGTTAAATGGCTTCGAAAACTGTCAACCACTAACATTGACCGCTGACGTAAAAGTGCGCCTGGGCGCCGAAACCACACTGATTTCAACCAATCCAGATAGAGCTCTTCTGTCATCCATCCTTTTTCTTGAACTCTCACCAAAATTCCCAGTGGAAGCTTTTCTTTCGGCAATGTTTGCATTTGAAGATTACGAATGGTGGTAGTTTGTTTCCATCAGCAGTGATACCAAGCATTATGGTATACCGTTGCTTTTCTGCTCCTGCAGTCCGCACATGCACTGTTTTTTCGCCTGCTTTGTTCACTGTACTTTCACCCGGCATTTCAAAGAACACAGGAGTTTCATCAACATTTCCAATAGCTCCCATGGTGTAGTTGTGCGTCTTTCTTAATTTCAGGACATGTTTTTGAAATGCAAGCAGTTTCTCCTGGTATGTGTCGGGAAGGCGCTGCGCTATTGACGTCCGTCGCCGAATTACAAGATCATGTCGGGCCATAAAGCGCCTTGCCCATCCATAACTTCCCTTAAATTCAATACGAGGAATTTTCATTCTGTCCGCTATTTTGAGGCCTACAAATTGAATAATTTCCACAGACACTGAAAATCGATCCGCCCGTGTATTACGCACGTATCGAAAAAGTTTATTTTCAAGTTCTGGTAATTTAGCTTTCTTTCCGCGGAAAGATTGTCGATTTTGTGGCGTTTTTTCAAGGGCATCTGTCCTTAGTATCCATCTTCGCACATTTTCNGCGCCTTGCCCATCCATAACTTCCCTTAAATTCAATACGAGGAATTTTCATTCTGTCCGCTATTTTGAGGCCTACAAATTGAATAATTTCCACAGACACTGAAAATCGATCCGCCCGTGTATTACGCACGTATCGAAAAAGTTTATTTTCAAGTTCTGGTAATTTAGCTTTCTTTCCGCGGAAAGATTGTCGATTTTGTGGCGTTTTTTCAAGGGCATCTGTCCTTAGTATCCATCTTCGCACATTTTCTTCGTCAACGTCGAATTTTCTCCCTGCTGCTCGATATCCGTGTTCTTGTGCGTAACGCACCACTTGAAGTTTAAATTTAGACGTATAACCTGCTCTTACTCGACCCATGTTTCACTCAGAACTAACCATGCAAGTCAAGTAAAGGCGAAAAGGTTATAACTCTCCCACGCAATGCCTTTGTTCTGAGTGGTACCGTTATTTTCGCTAGTTGCGAACTTAGGAATGTTAAACGTTGCCAAATTTCAGAATAATTTCTACTCCTGAAATAATATGCCAAGAAAATTATTTTTTCAATAATTTCTGTCTGAAAACTGTGCTGCGGCCTATACACGCACGCGGCCTATACATGCACGCGGCCTATACATGCGTAAATACGGTAATTTAATTTTGTGGGATATTTTATGATGCTGTCAGTATCTAGACAATACAGCATTGAATAGTGGGGATACTGACAGATTGGAAACAGTAGAAAAGCAGTCATGGCCTAAATGTGGTACTACTACAATATTTGCCCAGAAGGACCGAGCAAAGCCACAAAAGAAAAAAAAATCATTTCAAATAGACAGTGTCCTGACCAAGATTCAAACCAAAGACCTCCTGAATAAATGTTGCGGTATTGCCACTATGCCAATTCACTTGACGTTCTTCCAGATATTATGAACTTCATTATGTCTGTTTTTCCATCAACAGAGGATGTGCTGAAATACCTGGAATTTATTCTTAGGTTATGTACCTAGCCCATGCAAAATGGTTGCTTGCAGTGAGATAGTTTTTAAATATATCACTCCAAGAAGCAGCACTAGTTTAATCTCTAGACACTCCAGGACAAATTAACATTTCAGTCTTCTTTGTGATTCAAAATGATTGTAAGTATCTAATAAACCAAATTTTGTTACCATCACAGAATTCCTGTCTAAATGATGAAGTATTAAACAATTATTGTGGCCAAATGGCTTTTCAATGTGTATATGGTTGGACATCATTGAACATAGTTGTGGTACTTATGTGGATTGGACTCATGTTGCATCCCTGAAATGTGTTATGTCATGATGAAATTCAGTTACTGTGATCATAGTACATTACCATTCCTCATGGCATAGTCCAAGATCTCTTTCAGCTCCATCCAGTCAATCTCCATGTCTTCTCCTGCAATCTTGCAGAAGAACTCCTTCACTTTGTCTTGTGTTTTCTCTTCTTCTGGTTCTGGCTGTTTCACCACCTACAAGATAGGGCATCAGGTTAAACTATAACACATTAAATTCTCCAAAAGGTATTGCCCATGAACAATATCAATTCACATATTCATAGTTTAATTCCTGAATAACTGCATACAAATACGTTCTATTAGTAATAGCTAAACTGTAATAATTTTGATACTACATATTCATCTATGATTCTACAGATCAACATTCATTACTCAGTTACTATGTTTGCACTACTCAAGACCAGTCACCAGCCTAACTCTTTGACTGGCGCGGGCGTGTTTTAACGCCCGGACGATGCCAGCCGTTCCCTGGCGTTGGCGTGTTTTAACGCTTTGACAATCTCGTCCCTTCTTTGCTCTCTTGGCACTCATCAACCAAAGACATATTTATGATAGTTTTTGTGCATGTTTGTAAAGAACCCTTGTAAACTTTGTGGGGGTATATATTACTGTCAGAACCCTCTGAGAAGGTAAAGGTCAGAAAATATTTCACATTCATTCAGTTTCACCATAGCTTCTTGCAGCAAGTGTCTTCGTGTTCCTACAGACCAGCTGGAAAATGTTGTGAACGAGAT